TTGCTCGAAATTTCACATCCTGCCGTTGAAGCAAATAGGCATTAACTTCTCAAAGAGGCATGGGCATTAAGTCACAGTGTTGGGGACTGCTAGTCCAGCTAAAAATGAAAAATGGACAGCCCTGAAGAAAAAACCCTAACTCGTTCTCAAAGCTGTAAAAACTACAACAGATACTGACACAGCTTCAACTACTACTGATACGGATAAAATGCAGGTTTAGAGATGCTGGGGAGAATATTCTGAATCTGTGCTTATTATCAGCTTGCCATGGAAATGCCTTCCTGGCTTGGGTCAGAGGGAGATGCAGAAAGCAGATATGGTCCCAGCTTACTCCTGGGGAATGCCATCTACTGGTGGAAAAGAAGGTATTGAGCAAATGCATCCAAATGCCAGAAACACTGTTTTCCTAGGATTTCAGTATCACTCCGGCTAGAAATATCATTGCAGGTTAGCAAGATTGTATATATATGGACGTTATCAGTGCAAATGAAAAAGGTGACAGGCCAGGGGGAAAAGGAACTTTTCCAAGGATTAAGGGAGAAGGAACTAAGAATGAGAAATAAGCCACAGTCTGGGAACCTCTGATTTTTGCAATGTCCTCATCACCAATATATTGTTAAAAGCTATTTTTTGGGAGTCTGTCCAGCTCTCACTGAGTGCAACCAAAAAACATTCAGTCCTCTGTAACGTACTTGCAGCCAAGAGACAAAATTGTGATGACATCCTTTGATGCTGGCAACATAAGTGAAACTGCCTAAGTGAAATACTGATGCATCAAGTAGCCAGGATGGGAAGGATACTAATGCCAAATATGTTGCATTGCTGAAGTGGTAATACAGGGTACTAGTAATAATAGGTGAAACTGCTGAACATATCCAGAAGAAGCAAAAGGAAATAAAACTATTTGTAGTGTCTATAATATATTTCATTATGATGCTTCTCAATGCTAATACAATTTTGGTGTAACTTTGAGGCAATTGCCTATGGGACAACTATTTCTGGTACCTTACTGCAGTCTAATTATCCAAGTCCATTAGTTAAATCATATTTCAAATCTCTCACCTATATTCATCAAAAGCACAAGTCTTACTTCTTGACAAATGGTTACTAAAACAATAAAGCCAGACATAGAGGAGATCTCAGGCTCATGGTATTTGAATGAATTCATATAGAGTGTGACATGGCAATCGCGACATCACCTGAAGCACAGAACACGGTGCAGAACCAAATCATCCTGGCCTGGCCCCTATTACCTCCCTGATACTGCATTCTTGTAAGCGCAACAGGATTCATTAAGCAGCAAATCACACTTGAAGGGGATGGAAACCAGTTTATTGATGTCTGAACAGGTGACAATGCAGCTCATCAAGAACTGAGGGGTTAGCAGTCTGCTTTCTTTGTGCTATTAAGGAAGTAGTACATCACCCTTAAGCTCTAGCTATGCCTTTACAAGTGCCTTAAAACCAGGCTGGGATAACTATAGCCAGCTGTTGGTACTGATGCCTACACCAAACCTTCCTATCCCACAAGCCTCATTATGCATAGGACTGAATTCTACTGAATTTTTCTCTAGTGAAGAAAAAAAATGCATCATCAGTAAATGGTAGGTAACACTGTACTCTGAAGCAGATGCCTTTCCACTGGCACAGATCAAACAGGTGTTTTTTCTCTACATGGGCAGGAACAAGAATAATTATTTTAAAATATGAATTGCACCATATGCATGGAGACATCTACAGAACATTAAACAAAACAAAGGGAATCAGTATGCAAGCAAAACCCTGACTGGCAAACGGTATAAGGTTAATAGGAAATTATTATAGCAGAATTTAGTTTTCCCCATTCAACTAGGATCAGCTCTGTCTGACAGCTGAATTTGATTTACTGGTTGATAAAGCCATGTATACATTCTCTCAGACAGTCTAAAAATCATTCCTTTTTTCCTGGCCAAGGAAGCTTTTTCTGTCAAATACCAATCACTCATAGCAAGAGAATAGTTGACAACAACCTATAAATAATAAATGGGACTACTAGCAAGTAAGTATTTTGTCAGGAATTTGCAAAACTACTAGTGAATACTTTCCTTCATGTAAGTGAAGGTTCCAGCTATGGTATGCTTTCATATACTTCACTGAAATGTGCAACAATTGCTCTTCAGTTCACTAGGGAGCAAAGCTTAAGTAAAGCTTTGGTACCAGACAGCTTGTGGCATACCAAGAGTTATCCTGTATGTGAAATCCTAGGACTAAAACAAAGTATCTTTAAAAGGAACAAGCAGAGGAAGAAACATTATGTACAGTATGTTATTTGGTAAAAGACACAATGATTTAGCTTTGAGTTCAGATTCAGGCAAAGATCCAATGTAACTGTGCTTACCACCTTACTTAATTGTACTTCAAAGAAGATATTAGCTGAGAAGGTCTTCTGCATCTTCTGAACCAATAGGCTATACAGCCAGCTGGAGTCTACCCCCTCTCAATGTGGTTGCCCAAGTCTATCTGGAAGCTGAATTTGGGCTGTTCTGGGAAAAGTGTCATCTGTCTGCGGTGTAGGAAAAACATTCTGTTTTTCTATCATTTCTGTAGATATACTCACCCACATATACTACAGTCATGGGAAACTGCATGATTCAGACAGCTCTCTATTTCAAAAATCACTGAAGGAAGTCTTATGGAAATGAAAACAATTATCACTAAAGAAATCACAGGAAACAAACATCAAAATTTCAGATCACGTCAGTATTGATATGCCTTGGAAAACATTGCATATTTCATTATTTTCTTGGGCTACTGTCACTCATCTTTACCAATTCTAATCAATTATGTCTCTTGCTCCAAGGGTTAGATAAAGATCAGGAATAAAATATGTTTTCAGAAGTCTACAATTCAGTCTTACACAAAGACATTTTATAAAGAGTTCTTCATCTACTTTAACTTCATCCCGCAGGATCCATTAATCACAGTGTTCTCCCTCCAGGATGGACTGCTTGGACAATGGAGCCGATGAGGTATAGCTCTCTTCTCTTTCCTGTGCTCATTTTAAGATTTTTTTTTTCCCAGTCTGTGCATATATTTACACCACCATAACATATATTTTGAAGTGAAGCTCTTTTCCCAAGAATTAATGTTCTTAAAAGAAAATCAACATAGCTCAGTAAAATGACAGTAGTTCATGTCCCATGAACTACTTTTTCATGAATTACTTTTTTCCCATGAATCCTTTTTCAGGGAAAAAATGTTTGAAGTCTGGATTTGTAAAACCTGCTGTTCTGAGTACTGGCCACCTAGTGCATACTTCGATTTGCTGTCTGCAAGGGTCTCCGGACAGCACTAGTAGAGTCTTAAACAGTAAGTCCCCAAAGTGCAGAATTATAGACTGATAGTTCATGCTTTTAGGAACAGAATTTTGTTAAGAGTTGCAGTTGTCATGCCTTGCCAAAGCAGCAGTAATAAAGGAGCATCAGAAGACAGTAAAGGTGGTTATTATGGGACTTACCGAGAATCTCAAAATCTGCCAGGGGGTAATACACTACAAAAGCTACTTCAAATACAGTACACAAGCGTACATGCTGCAAACTCTCTGAGCTGCTGTAAAATTACCTTACATTAGAGGAGTTAAAGAATATAGTAATTATTCGTGAAAGAATAAATGAATTCTCCCATGTTTTCCTGATGATTGAGATATTTATTTTTTCTTCTTTTTCTTGGCTGCCTCTTTGATCTTTTATATTGCACAGCACAATCAGATAGCAGTAATTATCAACAAGCTTAATCCTGCCCAAACTGAAGTTAATGGAAAACTGCCAATTGGGCTCAAAGGGAAGTGAAAATGAGTCCCCAGATTACGGAATAATAATAATCACTGTGGTGATAAGCTAAGGCTTCAGTGTTCCTGTCACTCTTGCTTTGTGTGGCTTTACTTATTTGCTTTAGGGAGATAATGATATGGGGGCATGTAAAAAGAGTATTTTGCTCATACACATTGGACATACAGCTGCCATTTCTGTCTCTGGACTGACATAAATAGAGAGGCCATATCATAAGCAGTGTAAATTGCAAAATCTCCTCTGTGGAGCTACTGATTTGTAGGGATTACCCGGCCTGGAATTTGTACTTCCAACATCAACAAAGGCTTGATGCTTCCCTCTGGGGAAAAGGCCAGTCCACCGTTACCCTGAGAATACATGCTCAACCTCAGACCAGTAACAGACAAGTTATTAAGCTGTGCTTGCTTGTCTTACCTGATGTCCATTTGAATAGCTCTCTCTTTAGAAAGCTGCTGTAACTGCTTCTAAATTTATTTCAAACTGGAGATTTATACAAATCTTTTATAAAAGAGTTTACCACATGTGAAACATTGGCTGAATTAAGTGAAGATTATGCATATCCAATGATTGTTTTTGAGCAAGTTCTGTTTTCTTTTAATGACAGAGGCCATACCAAAGGCAGCAAGTCCCAAACTGCTTACAGTCTCTAGGAAACTCTCAGGGAAAGGCAGGCAAAGCCCATCAATGGCCACGTATTTTAAGGCAGATGATGATCCAGTAGGCCAAATCATGAGAGTAGAGGTAGGCCACATTTCCCCTCTTAAATTACCCTTCAGTTTTGACAGACTTCAGCAGCCTCTGCAGCTCATTCAGGGGTCACTGTGTCCCACTCCTCCTCCCTTGCGCTGGGTCAGCCATGTTGCCAGAAGCTAAAAGAAGTCTTTAGCCCTTTACCTGGCTGCTCACGTGTTTGGTTTCTGGAGTAGATCTGCCTTCTGTGATAAAACTGGCTCTCCAACATCATTGTCACAATGCACTTTAAAATACTAAGTCCACTGCCAGTTTTGGAAAGAGAGGTCTCAGAAATACTGTCTTCCTGAAAGTTTTGTGAAAACGAGTAGCCAGGCACAGCAGTGAGACCTTCTTAGTGCTCGCACACGTGGAAAGGCTGAGGCAGCCACAGCCGCATCCGCCCCACGAAGCTGCAGGCAGCGAGCTCACCCAAAGGCACAAGATGACCGTCCAGCGCTTCGCCATGCTGCTGGCTCTGCTGGGCCAGCCAAACGTTCAGGTGAAAGGGGGCAGAAAGTCTATTAGAGATAGCAGAAAGCAAAGATCATTTGAGGACTCTATGGGCCATAGGAAAGAGCTGCAGATATGGTGCAGGGCATGAGCCATAGAAACAAGGCAGGCAACTGAGACTACCCCACCAGCGACAGTGTAACGAGGAGGCAACTGGGACCTCTGTTGAGGGGGTGGGGGGGCAGCCGTTGGGGAGCCGTTGGAGAGCCGTTAGGAGGGCGGGCGGCCGTTGGAAGCGTTACTTCACGGCGCTTCACAGAACGGGTTCGTGAGGGAGCCAGCCTGCGGGCAGCGGGAACGGGTCTCTCCCGCCCACAGTCCTGACAGCGCCGCGGTAGGACTCCGGAAAGTTTTGCCACACCGGCGCCGTCCCAGCAACGGGTCGGAGCCGAGCGGGCTGCGGGC